TAAGTTGGTCTAATTTAATGTAAAAATGAATTTAATGATTTTTAAGGATTTTTTATCTTGATATTCAACCAACATTTATTATACTACTTATCAAAATTTAAAACTATATTCATGATATTTTTTTATTAATAAGTGGGATGATTTATCATTAAAAATGCTCAATGACACTGTTTTTTTTTTTTTAATTAAGTTCGTGTCACTAGTATTTTTTGAACAATTATATTTGTAAATCTTGGATGCAGAAGGTTATAATTATTCGTAAATATCTTATGTATTATCTGTCATATAAGCCTATTCTTTACTTACATATCACAGCTGTCACGATTTATGATTATTTGTCGGCAAACCGAACATTATTAGGTAGTGTGCTATGAGTGTTGTAGTTTATGTTTTATAACTTTGCTTGAAGGTTTATAAAATTCCAATATATTTGATAACTCTATTTTATTAATCGTAAAAAATATTTTTCAGGTTTAGATAAAATATATAAATTAAGGGAGCATTCAGTGCAAAAGTGTGCCCGTGTATTTACACTTGATAGGTTTAGTAATAAAGTATAGTCAACCAAGTCCATTCATTTTTACATAATGGTTATTTTTAACAGTAAAGAAAATCTAGAAAACAGGAACATGTAAAAATATACATAAATTTAATGATTACATAATAAATCATTCAGAATACCATAATAGTTGTTAATATTATGGTTATTATTATTAATATAAAGTTATTAATATTATTTGACTAACTATCCATTTAGAAATATTATCTGTCTTTGGTATGGTTGTCATAGATTTTTTTTCGTATATATTATGCATGATTTCTAGTAAAAACTAAAATAAAATTAACAATGTTGTCTATTAGATTACTTTTGATGTTTACATTTTTTATTTATAAAATCCTGTATTATCTCAAATAACTTAATTTAATGTATAGTAGCTATTTATTTTGAAAGCTCGTCAAGCTTTTAATAGAAATCTATACACAATATCTCAGAAATAATATAGATATTGTCACCATACTCATATGATTTACAAAAAAAACGCAATGTGTTCTATAATATAGTACAAAGATGTATGCACTCACACCTCTACATTTGTACATGATACACCAACATTAACTTAAAATATATCAGATAATAATATTAAATATTAGCACAGCCTCTTTGAATAATGGAGATCAATTTATGGAAACTATAAACTGCGATTCACATTAGTGAGCTTGTCATGATCTCGATCTAAAGACGAGTCATGACTCATAGTAACCGCCCGTTCTACTACAAATACTACTAATAGAGTTAATAGTACTGCAGCTCTGCAGAGAATATTAGCAACATTGAGTTGAATCAGATCTTCATTTAGTGGTACATCAGCGTTATTGTACAGCATCATTAATACTAAGCTAGTGGCGACTAGTTGTTTTTTTTTAATTTGATGGTCAGGCAGTATTTGGCCGGTACCCATATATTTTTGTTTTTTTTTTTTTTTGGTGAATCATTTCTGGAGACCCGACGGCGACATAGTTATATCACTAGGGTACGATGGGTATATGTTCATTATTTATTAATAGGGGTTATATACGATTTTCTCTCTAAATTTCGGGCACAAAATTTGTGTCTCTGATAGTTTGTTTAGCATTTATATTCAATATATATAAATTATACAAAAGTATTTAAAAATAGTAAATCATCTTTAAACTACAAAGACGTACTGTCTTGACAGTTCTGTAAAATTAAAGAACATTGTGGTAGTGATTATGAGCCAGAATTAAAATTTTTGAACAAATATTTGAAGAATTCGACGAAAANATTTGAAGAATACGACGAAAACAATACGTTTTCTTTGCTATACTCAGTCATGTCATTTTTGTAAAACATAATAAATTTCATATAAATAAGTAACTGAAAAAGTGTGCCAAAATATATATAAATATATATAATAATAACAAACAAAATCCATTTCAACAATTAAAATTATAAAATTTTATTGTAATAATCATATATAATATAGTAAGATTTGTGTTTACTTTCAAAAATAAATGAGAAACTACAAATGGATGACTAGGTATTAGTAATAACAGCAGTGATATCAGTTCAGGGGCAGCGTTATACCAAAGACAACGTGTCCAAAAAAAAAATTTCAACAATAGTGTACAATACTAACACATTTAAAAGGATCTACTAAGAATGGCCACAGTAAAATTTTATAATATATAATAACTATATTTCTATATCCTCAATGTGACGTTCATTTATATTTACTTCGTAATGAATTTATTACAGTTCCTACTATTAGTTAGTTAGTACTTTATTTGTGAGATTCTTATTATCATCCAATTAACTTTTCAACATAGCGGAACGTTCGAGAGATTGTTTGTCCTCGTTAATCGTATAAATGAGATTTATGGCTTAAATGCATTTTACCACCCCATCGAGATTTTTCAAATTTTTTTTTTTAAATCAATTTAGTTTTTCATACCGACTAAGAATATATAAAAATTTTTTGTCGGCGAAGTCTAGTTTAAAAGTTATGAGCTTTCAAAGATTTCAATAATCATATACAAATTTTGTTATATACTGCTGTTTTTTTTTGATAATTCTCATTAATTAACTATAAAAAGTATTCTCGATGATGTAGTTACCGAGGAATAGTAAATTTAAGAGTATTTATGAGTACATTAAACGTGTTAAGGTAGTGTTGAAGTAAATAAATTTAATTTTTTTTGATCTATTTTTTCAATATTATATCACCATTTTAACATCAAGGTTTTATACTTGTTGGGTCACTGAGAATTTCAGTCGAATGGGTTTAAATAGGTTGGGTTTGGGCTTGACTTCTATCCTCTGGGGGTTTGGGGGCGTGAGCCCCCATCCCATGAGAGTCCCGAAGGGGCTCGAATCGGTCACCGGAGCCGGCAGGCGTAGGTGACCACAACTTATATTTAAATGGGTTTGTATAACTCAACATTATAACATTAAGNTCATAAGTAGCTTAACTTTGTAAACGTTCAATGAAATATTTTGTAAGGCGATGTAAAATTTTGGCTCTTAGTATTCAATTATTTTATGATTTGTTTGTTTTTGAAATATTATTATTATCACTGCGATAGGCAAAGAAAGAAAACATCGAATTCAAACCATTCCAGTAATATAATGTATAAAAGGTCGACGTTAGGATGATGTGTTACGATTGTGTTCGTTTGACTTTTTTGGTCATATATTTATGTTTGGTAAATCAAATGATTATTACATTTCCTACATAAAAATATATTTGAACAGCATTGTCTTTATTTATTTAATTAATAATATTTATATATTTTAAGGAATAAAATAATTGTTGGGTTTAATATACAGTGTGACTTATTAAGAATAGTAAAATCCCAAATTTTTTTCATTAAATAATAATTTTTTTTTTTATAAAAAATGTACAATTTACAATTTAATCTATTGACACGACTTACGTCGCAAAAATGTGGTCGACACTGGTTTTGAGGGTAGAGACCAGTGGGCCGTTTATTAAATGACCGACAACAGATTATTTTAACTAAAATAAAACAAAACGCAGTAATAATAATCTTCGCATAATATCGCGACAGTTTCGCTGGAGTCGACGACACGATGTCCGGCGGCATATTAACATTCTGCAAACGAAATCTAACCCAGCAAAAATTCGCCTCTCTGATTGGCTACTCATTATTTATGATAACAATTGATATCAGTAAACTATTATTATTAATATCTAGAAAACACTAATTTTATAAATTATTTATAAATATATTATTTAAAAAATGTAATAACAGAAATAAATTAGTGCGATTTTGCATTAGGCGTACAGTTAGTTATGTTTTGAAGTATATTTCTTGGTTTCTTCTTAGGGCGATTGTTTTCTGAAATTGCTGGTCTACCTAAAAATAAAAGTAACATGTTTGTTTAATTGACAAATGGTATTTATAAATTATACTCACCTGACAATAGACGTTTTCTGAAATAGTACTTTTTTCTTCAACCATATTGCCAAAGATGCTATTTTCATTAATATTGTTTTCTGTATTTTCTATTACATTTACTGGTTTTAATTTAACTTCTTCAACTGTCAATGCATTTTTATGAATAACCTCTGATGGTAAAAGACCTTCATAAAATGATTATTTGGTGCTTTATTACCTAGTGCTAATTGTGCAATTGAATGTTTATCCTCTATTGTAACAGGAGGGAAATTAACTCCAACTTTATTAAAAAACTTGTATACAATACCTTGATGTTTAAAAACTTACCATACATTCCAGCTGTACACGAACAAATACCTATAGATTGTATAACACAATACATCAACTGTATTATCTGTATTAACTTCATTATCCACTTCAATATCTTTTTGGGTCACAGAATCAGTTAATTTTGTAATTTTTTCAAAAATTTACGAGCAGTTGCATTTCTATCATTTGAAAACTCGAGAAATTTTTTTCTATAATAATGTTCCAAATTGGTACAACAAAAATCAATAATTGAAATAACATTGTATGCTTTAACTCTACTTAATACATTTTCTTTAAAAATTCTCACTGAAACTTCACTAAAGATATTAGTGCGGTGGCCTCTATTTATGTGATCTCTCCATGCTAAACACCAACGCTCTTTATGATTCCAGTGAAATGTAGTAATATAATTTTGTTTGAACACTACTGAATCATACATGCTTTTAATTAAAAAACGTTTAGTTAATACAATCTCTGTTCAAAAATGGTAGAGTAACCTATCAGTAAATGAAGTTAATTATATTACAGTTTAACTCTACTTGAAACTTTGTCTAAATTCTTTAGATAAAAGTAATAGTAGTGTTCACTCCTGATGATGTTACTGTATTTAGGTTACTTGAATAAAAAATTTTGTATCATAATTAATTTTAATATCCAATAATATCATGTAAGACAGGCAAATAATCATCTAATATTGTATAATAATTAAAAAGAATGTATTAAATGTAATATAAATATTATAAAAGTAATTATTTCATATGTTGTTCATATTTTACCATAAGAACCCCTTGACCAGTACGCGGACCTAAATTTAAAATACTCCATTTATCATGCCAATTCTGTATAGTTCTATATGTTGGGTTCAATCGAGCGTTTGCAAAATCCTCAATAGAATGATTATTCATTGCCATAACACTCTCATGGTAACTATAATAAAAATTATTTTTGAAATATTAGCAAAAACCCTTAAAATGTTGCATTTAAAACTTAAAAAAAAAGTTTTTATTTTTAAAACTACTTAATTACATAGTTTTTAAATTTTGTATTTTTATATTATGGATTACATTATGCATACAAACCGAATAGCTTCAGTTATAGTCATTCCGTCATTAAAATAGTCTTCAAAATTTTCTCTGAAATTAGGAAAAGCATTTAAGCATTTTAAAGCCTCTGCTGTATTTATGTTGTGATTGTGTTCATTAAAAATTGTAATAACACCTAATAATTTTTNAATTTAAGAATTTTAAAGCCTCTGCTGTATTTATGTTGTGATTGTGTTCATTAAAAATTGTAATAACACCTAATAATTTTTCCTATCCATACATAAAATAGTCAATATAATGATACAACTACATTTAAAAAAATGATATTCTCACTACTTTTTATCTTTTTCAAAATTTATAAGTATTTTTTTCAACTGACTTTAAATGTAAAACTGTCTAAATTTTGACTTAACTTTAAGTGTATTGATTCCTTATATGGATTATACAAAGTCGCGTTTAAAAGTATGGAAATTAGTGTNAGTGTATTGATTCCTTAAATGGATTATACAAAGTCACGTTTAAAAGTATGGAAATTAGTGTAGCAATCAATTTCAAATATTATTAAAATAGTTTAAAAAAAGTCTATTATATTTTCTACATTATGTTTGTATATACTAACTTTAATGTAGGGATCAGTTTTTCTAGTTGAAACAGAATCTAGCTTTACCACAACTTTTATTTTGGCTTTACACTTAGTGTTTTTAGATTGTCCTCTTTTATTGTGTTCTTTGTCAACTTTATGGTAAGAGCTATGATGATATATAAATAATTTTCTATGAAACAGTTTTAAAATATTATATTAGTGTTAATTATTTATTGTATTAAACATAATTCAAAGAAAAAATTTATTTACTAACTTGCACTGAATATAAGTTCCATTTGGAACTGAAGAACGGACATTCCATTTAGTATTAGTATTTAAAGAAAATTCATAAATCCAATTACTAATACTTGATAAATCTAAAATATTTGACCTAACCAATGTATATTTTTCGTTAGATTCAATAATTTTATTGTTAAATGACGAAGGAAGGTTTTCAGAACTTATAACTGGATTCATTTTACATACAAATATAAAGAAAATATTGCTAATAAATAATAATATATGAGATAATTCAAATATGTGCATCAAATTTTACTTAAAGTATTTATTTGTAAAAAGTTAATCAATTAAATCATACAAATATTTGTCCATTGTTTAAAACAATTCTTTTAATCTTTTTTTAAAACAATTATGAATTAAGGCGGCAAAATTCAAATTGTTATCATAAATAATGTGTAGCCAATCAGAGAGGCGAATTTCTTGCTGGGTTAGATTTTGTGTGCACAATGTTAATATGCTGTCCGGCGTGATCCTTGGGCGACAACAGGTTAGCAGCGCTGTAGGCGATGGTGCGCGGGTGCAGATCGGATGGTCGACGTTGTCGCTTTCACAACGGGAAGAAGACTCTCGCACCATTTGCGGCGGGTCGCCGTCGGCCGTGAGGCATTTGCTGGACTTTGCACCGTAGCGTATATCACGCGGTGTTGGTCAGTTAAACTCTCATAGTAGGGCGACGGCTGATAAAGGTGGCCCGAGTCGCGGGGCATCGTATATAACGAAGCGACGCGAGCCGTGTCAAATACCCCCCGCCAAGCCACCGGTCAAATTAATGACGGCCAGGAAGAAACCGCGTATCGCAGTGAGGCCGTAAACTCACGTTGTTTGTTGGGTGATCTAAGGGGTGAGTGCGTGTGGTATACACAAACGGAATTGGTATAATTCCGTGGGTTTTTTCGCTGGTCGCTGTTTCACCGTTGCTGATTTAGATGATGTTGCCGCTACTGTGTTGTGGCTGCTCATTGTTGTTGTCACCGCTTTATGAGCCATAGTATCAAGTAAGTTATAAAAAAAAAATATTAAAATGTGAGGTTAGTCTCCTTGAAACCCTTTCTATACTTAAGTTTTTTATTAAATGGTCGCAAAAAGCAGGCAAAAG